TCCTTTCCTTCTTTCTATTCTTTTTCCTTCCTTCCCTTTCCTTCCTTTTTTCCTTCTTCCTTCCATTCTTTCCTTCCTTCCCATTCTTTTTCCTTCTTTCCTTCTATTCTTTTTCCTCCCTTTCTTCCTCCTTCCCTCCCATTCTTCCTTCCTTCCCTCCCTCCCTTCTCACCCATCTCCCTCCTTTCTCTCCAGATCTTCTCCCTGGGCTACTGCCCCACAGGAGAGTGGCTGGCCGTGGGGATGGAGAGCAGCAACGTGGAAATCCTCCACGTGACGAAATCGGAGAAGTACCAGCTTCACCTGCACGAGAGCTGCGTCCTCTCCCTGAAGTTCGCTTCCTGCGGTAGGGGTCACTCCTTAAAGGGGTTCCTTTCGCCCTTTTTTTTAAAAAATATATATATTTTTATTGTGCATTTTTCCTTAATATTCATCACAGTTCCAATTTTACAATGTCGACATGTACTGGTTATATCAAGTCCTTTTTTCTTACATCATAGTATATACATCCTAATTAAAACTATCATACAGTATAATCCCTTTTGACTTTCATCCTTGTCACACCTACCGTATTTCTGCGGAAAGATGCACTCACACTGTATTTTTCCACTTCTACCCTCAAAACGAGGCTATAGAGCACTGCACACCAGAGCAACTAGACACAAGGACGGTTTTTCCCCCAAATGCCATCACTCTGCTAAATAACTAATTCCCACAACACTGTTAAATTGTTTACTAAGACTGTGTTGCTGTTATTATTCTCATCCTTCCTATTACTTTTTTCCTCTCACTTATGACTATAGCCTTGTTCCTTATATCTCCATGATTTATATTGTTTTATTTAGTTTTCTAGTATGATTTGATTGCTTATTTAGTATTTTATGACTATCTATAAGTGTTATATCTTACGATTCTTGATGAATGCATTTTTTTTAATGTACACTAAGAGTTTATGCACCAAAGACAAATTCCTTGTGTGTCCAATCAGACTTGGCCAATAAAGAATTCTATTCTATTCTATTCTATTCTATTCTATTCTATTCTATTCTATTCTATTCTATTCTATT